ATTGCGACGTTCCAGTTTTACTGGGGGAGGCAGAATTCAGGTACCCTTCCGTGCATTATTTCAGGCACGAATGGGCACCTGAGTGGAACCACCGATGGTCCGTAAGCTAGCTTGAATACAATTTATATTATGTTGATAAACACATATCTTTTGTGAATAAAATTTATATTCATAATGTCTTCTCGACATAGTACAAAGTATCATTAACATAGCTTTTGTACTTTTTCAGTTATGTCAGGGTCCAGATTTCTTCAGACGGAAGAAGTTTATTTCAGTCTCTTTCATATGCAAACATATATACATAAAACATATTAAAATTGATCAAAAAAGAACATTCTACAACATAATTATAAGAGACATGTAGTATATATATACTAGTAGTATCATTATATACGTATATACTCGATAGTAAGGTCTCACTGATAACAATAATGCGAAATTACAAGAACACTTTACATCATAAAAGTTAGATTTTCCTCACTGACCTTCAATTTAAAAATACCATAAGATATTTTGATAAGTAAACACTGAGTGTTGTAAATTGTGGCACTATTGCGTAAATCAATAAATATCTTAAAGAAAATATATCATCCGTGGTCAGGGTAAGTAGTGATATTCTATACCAGGGGCGGTTACAGAACAGGGTTTTCTGGGGGCTGACACATGGGTGGACGATTTTGACAAAAACAAAATAAAAAGAATGCAAAAGGCTAAAATTGCGCATGTTTGAAGATTGGGCCAGCATCTTGCTCATATGACAAAAATTGTATTTGATGTCTTTTCTAGCTCATTTTATGAGGGGCAATGTATTTTTCTTATACATGTGTATATATACTGTATTGTAAATATCTAGATAACAATTAAAACCGGAATTAAGTAATGTATGTGATAGGGGTGTCCCCTCCCATAGACTGATAAAATTTTGAAATTTGACTTTGAAAATGGTGCTATTTCCTCGACTTTCTAGTGCTGTTAAATGGTTTAACATCACATTGTATTTTTTGTATAGGTTTGTGTTTGCAGGGTCTTTAGTTGGCATTTACAAAATAACAGCACACTTTCCAATGTATACGCGACTGTTGATAAACATAATTTCGAAAACTTGATCAATTTACTTATCTGATAAATAGTTTGGCGTATTTACAAAGTAAAGTGTTATTAAAATACTGCCTTACTATTGTACAAAAAATAATTTCAATCACTAATTTTCAACAAGTAATAGTTACCGTACGAGGAATAGGACTACATAGTATTTACAGACCCGGTGGAGATTTGAAGACAGAGAGAGCGTAGCGATCGAGGTTTTTAAAAGGCTACCGGGTCTGTAAATTACTATTCTGACCTATTCCGATAGTGCGGTAACTATCTTACCTACATGCTCTTTTGTTTTTCTATCAATACATCAGTTTTTGTATTTTCTGATCGCAAGATCAGTAAATACATAGCTAACATCCACGGTCTAACAAAATATTTCCTCACAGACCTAACAACGCAAAGTAGTTCTCACTCAAAACTGCTTAAAAACCAGCAATTTAAAAGAAAGAATAATTTTGAATGTAGGCATTAAACGAATTACATTGTAATTAAAGTTTACATTAGTCAATAGAAATATGAGGTTACAATCACAAATTTCGCGGATGAATATCTTTTTTACCCAATGAAAAATGTTCGACTATTTCCGTAAATCTTAATCAATGAAAATGCTATTTTTAGCTATGTCGATTACCGAATACTCCAGAGCATAGTACACAAATAAATCTGACTGTCGAGTAATGGAATATATACATGTCGGACTGTTTTGGCGAGAAGATTTTCGCTAAATTATTTTCATCAGTGTTTAACAACAGGTTATTCGTGAACAAAATACCTCGAAATTAATAAGGATTACAAATATGAAATGAAAATTCTCAATTTTAGAATTACAATATATTTGTTTTTATTCACGCTACATACGTTACTTCACTGTGGTGCAGAGGTATCGCGCTCGTTTAGGGTGTGAGAGGCCTAAGGTTAAAATCCTTGTCGAGGCAACATTTTTTTGAAGTGTCTTTTTTAAGGAAGTAGCAACGATATGCAAGGATAAAGTGTGGCTGTAATAAAAAAATGAAAAATGATTTTTGATGCAACTCTAGGCATGCAAAATTCCATATGTATCAATCACAAACTGTTAAACGCAGTCGCTGCATAAGATTAATAATAGTATATAAAAATAAACTTATGCAGGAAAGATCAGAAAATACCACAGAGCATGCAGCCTTTTGATTAACTCAGTATTTATGTATATTACTCACAAGAAACATATTACTTATGTACTTTATCATGTTTAAGAAAGCATTCCAAAGCCATGCAAAAATACCATTCGCTACGCTCTTGTAATTCATTCGTTCACAAATCAGGTGTTGTTTGAATATTCTTGTGTTTCTCGTGGGGTTTCATTATGTAATAAGGTCAGGTAATGTATTTGTTGAGTTGAGACACAGAAAATGAAAACATAACTTGTCGAGTACGCAAAGGTAAGATCATTATTTTGATATATGACTACATAACATATTAATAATATATACAAAATTAATATTAAGGAAGATAAAAAAAGTTTTCTAATCATAAAATCAAAACACTTTATCTTTATATAATAAATTTCATGGTAAATAGATGATCAGGCTATTTCTAATATAATTAAAATATGCGATTTTTTCAAAGGAAAGTAATTGAATAAATATAAGTAATACATGTAGATATACCGTCATGTAAGTTGGGTTTGTTGTTGTTGTTTTTTATGATGGCTGATTTTTAAATATTCTTAGAATTTCATTCATGTTTGGAAGAATTTTCTTTCGGTGTATCCCTAATAAGCATCATCCGTTATTCATATGTTTAATAAGACCGCATGTAAGCACGCGGTCTAGAATGGAAACACAAGTCGTATTCTTGCGAAGAACAGGCGAGTACTGGTATACAAAATCCAAATTTTAATGTAAAATATGAAAAAAAAAAATAAATAAAAACGGTCTTATACTTATAGTATATATACTATACTCTCACTGAAGGAAAGAAAGATGCAGACGTTGACTTTGATTCGATATGCACCAATCGTCGTATATATCCTATAATGCAGAATTGTTAAAATAATGCAGGATTGTGCAAAATCAGACAAATACCGAAAACTTGTATCTTATGAAGCTATATAGATCGGCAAATGTGTTTAACTTAGGTATACCGAGAAGCAAACTATAAAGAAAGGCTAAATGTGCGTTATTGTACTCATTAATATCGGCAGAACACAACTTCAACGCCAGAACAGTAGCCAGTTCGTTTTTCTCACAAATACATGTAATCTGGAATATATGTTATGAGGGTCCTTACAGCCGTATGCGCTTATTTAATTCTATTTATTTGATGAAATGTACTTTAAAATATATATCGACCATTTTTCCTATTCAAAGAGGTCATTACCCCCCCCCCCCGGCCTTATAAATTTACACATATCAGCGTAATCAGAGTTTACGGTGAATATTGTGTAATGCATGAGTTTCTTGACTTCACATATTTTCTATTGTATAGAGAACAATAGAACAAAAACAGGTCCGTATATATTTGCAGACCTGTTAAGCGGTTACTAGACCGCTTTTAACAAAAGAGCCGGTAGGTAAAAACATTTTCCATCAATGAATCCATTTTAGATATTAAAGAGGTCAACTTACAATTTGGATTTTATTTAAAAAAAATATAACTGCCATAACAATTATTTAAAGCAAATGACCAATTATTTCATCCTATTAAAAATCTTAGAAAACTAGTTATCAAACGCGATTCCTTTTATATTTTCTTTATTAAACTTGCAACCTTTTAATTTACAAATCACCGGGTGGCGACCGGGCGATGATTTTTGATCGGGCGATTTTTTGTTCTACTAAAACAGCGTCCGTTTTAAAAGGCGTCCGGGCGGACATCGGCCGGGCCCCGCCCGGTGCCTGAATAGAGACAAGTAGTCAAACGATTATCGTCCGGTATCCGGACGATTCATGTACAGGCACCGGGCGGTCATCGTTTTGTCATCCGGCGAGCGGGCTGCTTGTGTTTGTTGTAATTTCAGCTTGAAGGAGTTGTAATTGCCTCAAAAATATATTTGTCAATTTCTTTTGCATACTAGTAAACATGAATTTTTTCTTCAATGTCCATGCGAATGCAACACGGACCAACTCCTTGGCCTTCCCCTTCGCTTCGGCAGCTGACTTCTTTGCTGGCATAATTACAACTGACTTATTTACCTAGGATGTCATTAAATGTAAAGTCATTGTCGCCCGGCGCCCGCACGGCAACCGTCCGATTCACTTTTAAATCGCACAGGCGCCGTACGGACATCGGGCGGCGACCGCCTGATCCGTTCAATTCTTTCTGTAAAATCCACTCGGCAAAAAATCGTCCGACGACTGTTTCATCATGACCACGCAAGGTATCAGATTTAAAATCGCCCGGCGTCCACGACATCAAAAAATCTGCCGATTTTATAAAAATCGTTTAATCGGACGGCGCCCGTTTTATTTGTGACCTAGGGAGAACACTACAGCCAATTAACTTTGAAACTCACAAAAATATATTTAAAGCCCAGCTGGTAAACGTATCTTTGAGCCGAGCTAGGGAGGGGGCTGCAGCCCTGAATCCGCCACTGACTATACGTACATATAGGTAAAACAACTTATCATGTTTAAAACAAATAGGTTACATGTGTGCAATAAAATATTTACTTTCATGTACTTATAAGCACAAGGTCATCTTTAAACTGTAAGATAACTATATTACAAATAATTAAAAAACTACAACACAAAGTGGTCGAGAAATCCCTTCTTGTACAATATATAATAGCGGAGCTGAAGAATATTGTAACAGGTATGATATTTGAGTACAGGCATAATCTCCATATAGTTCTAATTATGTCCGGTCCACAAAGCAAGTATAAGTATATCCACATAGCAAGTATCAGTCTATCGACATAGCAAGTATTAGTCCATCCATATAGCAAGTATCATTTTATCCACATAGCAAGTATCGGTGTATCTACATAGAAAGTATCAGTGTATCCACATAGCAAGTATTAGTCTATTCACAAAGCCAGTATTAGTCTATCCACATAGCAAGTATTAGTCTATCAACATAGAAAGTATTAGTCTATCCACATAGCAAGTATCAGTGTATTCACATAGCAAGTATCAGTCTTTTCACATAGAAAGTATTAGTCTATTCACATAGCAAGTACTAGTCTATCCAGATAGCAAGTATTAGTCTATCCACATAGCAAGTATTAGTTTATCAACATAGAAAATATCACTCTATCCATATAGTTAGTATCAATGTGTATAAGTCTATCCACATAGCAGGTATTAGTCTATCCACATAACAAGTATCAGTCTATTCACATAGAAAGTATTAGTCTATCCACATAACAAGTATCAGTGTTTCAACATAGCAACTAATAGTCCATCCACATAACAACAAACAGTCTATCCACTGTAAAAGGGCTGCATTTTGGTAAAAGTTGCTCAGTTTTTATTGCCATTTTCGCTTATTTTCCGTACCTTATTTGTTAGAGTTTATTTGATTGGTGCTTTCGGTTTAATTCTATATATTTTCCATTGGTCCACTTGATTAATATAATTCGATTAGTTCAGAACTTGTTATGAGTTATTTTGACCAATCAAACTTATAGTTAAGCATTGTCATGACTACCAAAAGTGTATAAATACCGGGTGAATTTCTATATTTCTTGTCTTGGGAACTGGCCGACAAGTCAGTTCACTTCAAAGCTTTAGAACTTTGGCACTCTTTCAAAACTTTATACAATGAAGTTTTGACTTTGTTTTAAATCTATATGATTTGTGAATTTAGGCTATACTTATTAATAAATACTTAGAAATTCTTTTTAAATAAATAACTCGTAGTTGGTAGATTCTGGTTTAAAATATAATCTTATTTATACTCTTGATAAATAAATTATATGATTATCGTTTAAATAAATCTCAAAATGTTAAATTTATAAAGTCTTGTGTTATACTTTCTTAATAAGAGTAATTTGAGGGTAGCGTCCAACACCACCATCCTAGCCACTGGTTGGCAATTAAGAGTTCAGAGAACCTGGGTAAAGTGCCGTTTAAAGATATATTTGTGATCACGTGTCGTCCGTATAATAATTTGGCCATTTATATTATAAGTCTGTCCAGAGCGCCACTGAGTGTTGGGCTCAAAACAGCTTGATTCACTGATAATAGACCGGCACTATTGCACCACATAGCAAGTATCACTCTATCCATATAGCAAGTATCAGTTGATGGACAGGATGTATTAAAATGAAAGATAATGTTGTGTGACAAATCAAACATGTCCTCAATATGTGCAGATTATGGTTCCATTCTGAAAAGAACATAAAGCCTTGCAAATCGATTGATATACACAACAAGTACAAAGTAATTACTGGAAAAAAATCAAAGCACAGAAGGCACTGAAATTGTTTGGGTCTCAGAATGTCAGAAAGGTGAAGGTTGTGAGATTATAAACCAATTTGTTTTTTGTAAAGTGCCACCAATGCTGTTTCCAGTGTTTTAACTATAGTAAATTGGCTATAAGACTAATTGCAACAGTGTTTTTCAATTCAATGTTTATTTGACTTAAACAATTAAAAAAAATGAGTTGCCTTAACTGGGATTTGAACTCCAGACATCTCGCTTCCAAAGCGATCGTGCAAACCCCTCGGCCACGGTGAAGTTATATGAAAACCAGAAGAAAACCAGACTATTCTAAATTAGGTTTTGTAACCATTATTATTATCTCGAAACCTGTTGTTTAACACAGATGTAAATAATCACAGAGCTTACTATAAGCATGTATATCTATAAAGAATAAAACAATATTAGAAATCTTCGACCATTCGGAAACTATTATGCTTGAAAATTAATGCGCCTGTCAATTGACAATCTTTACGCAGTGATCTCCCCTGAATTTTTCGGCGTTAGTGTACATATAAAGGGAAGTAACCGCTTCAAAAAAGCGGACTTCTTGCGGCATTTGCAATTAACAGCATCAGGGTCTGAAATTTCGCTACCATTATTTGTTTAATCTGACGACCCAAACAAATAAAAAACTACGCGAACGAAAGGGTTGAGGCTGTTAGATTTTGCAAATTTATCATTTTGCAATTTATTTCAAGTACCGAGCTGTTTTCATATATTTTAGACAGACCAGCAAGATAATTCATCAGGCATAATTAAAGAGATCTCATCAATGTGTATGGCCATCTTTGTGTAAATGGTCAGCTAACAACAATCAATAATCCGTGTGACCATCGGACATTTCTATATGTAACGGTAACGCTTAATTCTTTAAAAGAGTGGGGCAGTCTTTTATAATTTAACCTGTTTTTATATTGTATCATACATATTTTTCATTATGATTTATTGGTCAGTCACCCTTATAATAACCAATCTTTTGAAATAAATTACTAATTCAGTTCAACTTGACAGCAAAATAAAAAGAGCAAAATGTCACTTTAAAAATTTTAAATCATATTAATCTGATAAGAGAGCCCTCTCAATGATATATACCTTTCACAAAAGGTAAACATATTGATCCGCTTCATACACTGGAAATCAGTCCATTTTCTGCGACGTCCTTCCGAAAATTTTGCGCAATTTCTAAACGTCTTATTTGTCGGCATATCTACCCCCCAATTAAAGAATCCACCAAGAGGCTCCCCTGAACTATTCCATTTCCAAACACCTTCCACGTCATTGTCTGTTATCCCGAGCCAAATTTCGTATCCTTAAAACAATCCGTATACGTGCATTTGAATAGTTAAAAAAAGTTAATATAATTTAATAAGATAACATTACCTTAATTAAATAACCAATGAATTTCAAGTATTTGCAGCCTATAAAGTTCAAATACAAATCAATATTTCATCTAATCTTATCAATTTAGCCTCGTTTTCACAAAAATCTGTATCAAATGATATCGCATTCAGTCTGGCCTCGTTATCATTTTCTGAATCAAAAACTCTATATCAAATTCATATTGTATTCTACCAAACAATCTATATCAAATTTATATTATATTTTACCAATAATTTTTATCAAATCCGCATTATATTCTTATAGTATCTCTTCATTTTCAGATTTTACATGCTATTGATACGCTCTTTTGATAGTGTAAAGACCTACTGAAATGTTATAAGGTTTAACAGTTGGTTTGAAATCACTAATTCTGCATCCCCCCAGACGAGCCAAAACTTTCCAAGAAAATAATCATTGAGAAAAATGTACTGTGAAAAAATATTCAAAGCGCAAGAAATTATTTACACCATATTTCTACTGCGAGATGAACGCATTAAAATTTCTTTTGCTTATTTTGACCTTTATTTTGGAATCTATGTGGATTGAAAGTGCTTTAAAGTAGTTTATTATAATGTATTTTACCTAACCTGAGTAACAAACATAAGATAAATCTGTTACTTGATGCAATTCATTTTAGTATTATACATATATTTTACCTGTGAGAAGCTGCTGATTCTTGAAATATGTTTTCAAATACTCATTTTCTTCTGTAGTTTCCGCTTCAACAACATGAGCGTTCTGCCCTACACAATATACCTGAAACAAACAATATTCAACAACAAAATTGCACACAAAATATTATGACGCAGAGTTTAATTTCATATACAGCATTGATTTTCGAAAAAAAAGTTCGGAATCAGGGTTAACGTCGCACAAACATAGTATAGGTTATATGGCACCTTTCCAGCTTTACTTGAGGACACCGATTTTCCGTTTGCTAAAGCTGGGTAGTATCCTTTAACCACTAAGCCACGGACGCCCGATTAGGCATGTAAGCCCATCGGTTTGTCAAATTAGTTATTACCTCTGTCGGAACTAAGAACAAATTCTTGTCAAAGCTTTAATTAACTATTTCTTTTTCATGAATAATTGAATTCATCCTCTATAACCAAGCTATGTATAGCAAATGATAAATCATTCTGGAACAAAATATTATCTTTCATCATATAAATGTTCGTACTAATTCACTTAGAAATCTACTTTCACTAAATAAAGTACAAATGTATTTAAAGCTATTTCCCTCCAGACAGTAGTTTACAAAGTTTTGATTTTGTTTTGAAAAAAAAAATTAATTCTTAAGTGCCTGCATGAAAAAAATATATTGATATATTTGCTTCCACGAAACCATTGCTAAACTTTTAAAACCCTACATAAAACTGTTGCGTAATATATTTCTAACATTTTATTCTGTTAACGTTCAATATATGCATAATAATTATGTGTGATTGAGAAAAAATATAAGATAACAGAAACATTCCTTTTTTTACAAATTTCTCTCGAATCGACCATAGAACTATGGAAAACAACGCCGTTTTATCATTTTCTTTTTTCTTTCAATTTTATAAAATATATTACATTAGATATAGCTTTATACCTTTTTAAGTATTAAGTGCTTATAGCTTGCAGTCTAGGCAACATCGTCTAATATAGAGCTATCAAATCACAACGTTAACAAACTTTAACAAGGCATGTCTATGCCGTGTAACTTGACTTAGCAGGTACAAAGTACTAAGTAAACGCTCTTTCATATATTTATCAGAATTAACCGCTTGTGCATGTTGTGGCTGAGGTGGTTACCAATAAAGGGTTGCGTATCAGACTGATTGGGTTTGAATCACTAGAGTCTAGACATCTTTAAGCTCCAGTAGGTGAGGTGGTTTTGACTTACGTTTGTAACACCCATAATTAGCCAAACTCATACTTCTAGTTTCGACGCCATATGACCTTAATGAGATGTAAATTGCCTTTCTGTATCGATGGTTCCCATACAGTTTTGTTGAAATCAATACAGCAGTTGCAAAGAAATAGCAATATTGCTCTATATGCATACTACATAACTAATCAAGGGCCGTAACTCTGTAATGAAGGGTCTGGTCTGAACAAGGCAACACATTATGCACATCTCCTCATGGTATTAATGGTTCCCATATAGTTTAATTAAATTCCGGCCAGAAGTTGCATAGAAGTAGCGGAGTAACAAATTTTGCTCTATGTATACTGCAAGGGCCATAACTCTGAGTTAAAGTGTCTGACCGTAACAAGGCGACGATATGTGCATCCCATCTTAGTATTAAAAAAGTTTCCACAAAGTTTTGTTGAATTCCAGCCAGTAGTTGCAGAGAAGTAGCGCGGAAACGATTTTTGCTCAAAACGCACAATGCATAACTAATCAAGGGCCATAACTTTGAGTTGAAGAGTTTGACTGGAACAAGGCGGCGATATGCGCATCTCCTCTTGATATTGATGATTCCCATAAAGTACGGACGGACGGACAACGCCAAAACAATATCCCATCCCGATCTCATCGGCGGGGGATAACAAACTGTACCACAAATTGATGTATTGTGCTATTTTATGTACGGACAATATCTCCCCTCTACGGCGTTCAAGCGGTTTTCCGACCCAAAACAAACTTTTATATCAATTATACATGTTATAGCATAAAATCGGCTATTTTTTCCTCTTTGTTTCAAGTTTTTAGTTACTTTTGCTTTGCATTTGTTTCATCACTGTGCTTGTTTTAATTATCTTATATGAGCTGCTTTTGTGTGCTTTTAATGTGATAGATTTATTTCTATTTTTTTATGTGCTATGCTTTGTGTGCTTTTATTGTAATAGATTTATTTCTTTTTTTTTATGTGCTATGTATCATCTTTATATACATGTATAACTTGAATGTTTGTGTATATGCTAATGTCAGGATTGATGTTTATTATGCATATTTTAACCTTGTCATTCTATTGCTTAGTCCTAACCATGTTTTATTTATTTATATATAATTTGCTCTTTTAATAAGTTGGTTTGTCTATGCATTTTATTGTGTGTATGTATGCCTGATGTTCCTCTGCTTAAATGTTTGTGTGTTTTACATAAGCTGTGATGTGTGATCTTAACCTTTAGTATGTATATTAATGGGTTTTTTATTAAATCTAATATGTATTACCTCTTACTTTTGTATGCTACTGATGAATGCTAGTACAGTGCTGTTTGTCTACTCTATTTGTTTATGCAACGCTATTTGTCTTATTTTTTCATAACCATTTTCGTCATTTATCATATCTTAAACATGTGTTTTATATTATTGTAGTCGGTGTAAAAAGCTCATCAGAGCTTATGTTTATTGTTGATGTATCCGACTTATAAATAAAATTTACTTGACTTGAATACTTGACTCTTTTGTCCATGTTATAACGGGACCAAAAACATGTGTTAACATAGAAACGCGCTCTTGTTATAGCCCGGTTTTACCTATGCGCAATACATACAGGGCCAAGTAAACAACTAAAAAATGACGATTTGGCCTGTTTGCCAAAGTGTTATATTGAAATTATTGATTTTCGAGGGCCTCCATCGCATAAGGTCTCAACCCGGTACGGAATTAGACCCAGCCCATTTTAATCTAGAAAGTAGTTCTTTAAAATTTTTAAGTGGCCCAATTTAAGTCATCTTTTGTTAGATTGGTCATAATTAAAGTGTATTTATTGCATGTGTGTAGTTTTTGTGTGTTATATGATGAGTTTAAAAGTTGTTTTTTTGTGTATTCTCCAGGAACTCATTTGTTGGCGGAAGGATTAAAGATGTACCACCCACCAGCAGTCAGGAGTTTTTAAAGTGGTGAATTTAAACTGTGTTACAACAGAATGAAGATTTCTGAAAAAAGGAGATGGCTAACCTATTATATTTTGGGCCTCATTTGACTCAGATAGTGTTGATGTTTAAAGTTGAAGACAGTATATAATTCATCAAGAACAGTGGAATTCAGAATTAAGCCTCAAATGTGATTGATTTACTATAGAACAAAGAGTACGAAAATTCACCAGGCCGACACCAAGAGAAGAAATGTGAAAAATGGGAACTGATAGATGGATATGGATGAAACTTTGCATCAGTGTTGTGTTTATGCATAGAAATCAGAAAAATAAATGATAACTGACAGGTTTGAAAATTTTAAATTTTATTTCAAATTTTAAATTTTAACATTTTAAATTGGAACAGATGTTGTTATTGTTATCTCCCCTTCAAATGTAGATGTCTGCTACTGTGTCAATAAGTGCAGACGAAGGGTGCAGAGCTTTTGCGTGAAGGATTAACCACATTTTATTGAATTAAACCTGTAAAAATGAATTTAAAATTAAAAAATGAAATTTAAATTTTGTTTAAAGCAGTTAATAAATTGATAAATTTTATTTTTGCACCCTGTGTTTAGCAATTTACTAGCTCTATAGCTTATTTTTATAAAATTTATATAGAAAATCATAATTTTTAGAGAAATGCATCTTAAATTATCGATAAACAATGCATTGCAAGGAATTGGGGAGTGCATGTTTTCAGGCTGGTTACATTGGCAAAAAGGGTGATTGGCAAGCTCGTTCCAGAGGTCTTAGGGGCCCAAGAAGCACCGGCCATGGGATTCGAACAAGCACCATAGTAGCCTATTGCTCATATGGACCACACATTATATGCACTGATGTTTCAGCAAAGAGTTGATGCTGTAGTAATCAGATTGTAAATATTCACTATTGTCTTGTATTTCAATGAAGCAGAACTGAAAATTGAACATGACACATGTGATTTACATGTTGAAAATATAGGCATTTTCAGTGTAGTGAAACTTGATGTTTTGCTGTGTTGCAGAATGTATTTGCTAATGTATAGACACAATTGATTTTCAAGTCATTAAACAGTGTAGTTTATGGATAATTGGCTCATTTAGAATTATAACACAGTTGATGTGATTGTTGTTGTTGTTGTTGTTGTTGTTGTAGCAGCAGCTGCTACAGCAGTTAAATTAGGTTAGGTTTATATTGTCTTAACTGCTATTTCAATGCAGGCATGCATTTTAAGCACACACTATTTAAGCCCTGCTGTTTGAATTAGCAAATCAAGCCATTGATTAATTAAGAATTATTTTCTTTCTTTCTTTTTTTAGATATCAGAATTACAGCATAAATGCCTCTTATAATTTCCTTCGACATGTATTAGTGTTGCATATTTTTTCAGACCATGCAGTTACCAAAGCCGGGGTTTGAGTACATGACCATACCTTATACTGATTAAGATCTATGGAAGAACTCCTTCAGCTAAGTTTGGCAGCAGATTTGTCAGGACAAGTTGAGAAGGTAATAACTTATGTCTAGTTTGAAACTTCAGCTATTAACGGCAACGAATCCCAATGCTCGGGCAATATTTGGTAGATATTTTGATGTATATCCAGAGAAAATTTCTCTAATTTTGACTATTTTAAGACTTCTCAATGATTTAAAGTTGGAGACAGTATGTGCAATCATTTTTTAGCCTTATTTGTGTGAGAGTTGGCTAATCTTACTTTGTCAGAAGACATAGCCCATGGCAATATGGTAACCTCTTTGCTAAAGTTAAGATTACCTCTCTTTGTCTTTATTGATATCTTAAGCAAACAATGTAGGGTAAATATCTTGGTACTTTACTTTATTTACCATGCTATATAGGTAAAAATCATAATCAGTAAGTTTTATTGCAATATTGAAAGAAAAAGTTATGAAAAAGGCACATTTAATTGTGATTACTTGTATTTTAACCCAAAATTTCATGCTCTCATTAAAATAAATGGAGTTTATATTACAATTTTAAAGCAATAAGGGCTTATTCTTTCATAAAAATAACTAAATGACATTAGCCGGTAACTTTATTCGAAGAAAATCCATTAACAAAATCAAAAGATATGACAGAATTTGTGATATAAATTTTTGCGTAAAATTCTATTGGCCGAGGCTGATTTTTGCATGAAGTTTCATATGTAAGAAATTGTACTGCAATAATGTAATTTGTTAGAGACATGTCAAACCTATATGATTGTACTTGTATAATACTTAATTACTAGGAAATATGTATAAATTTTGGCTTAACTTAATTTTGGATTCATTTAGGTCTCAACCCGGTACGGAATTAGACCCAGCCCATTGTAGTCTAGAAAGTAGTTCTTTAAAATTTTGAAGTGGCCCAATTTAAGTCATCTTTTGTTAGATTGGTCATAATTAAAGTGTATTTATTGCATGTTGTGTGTTATATGATGAGTTTAAAAGTTGTTTTTTGTGTATTCTCAAGGAACTCATTTGTTGGCGGAAGGATTAAAGATGTACCACCCACCAGCAGTCAGGAGTTTTTAAAGTGGTGAATTTAAACTGTGTTACAACAGAATGAAGATTTCTGAAAAAAGGAGATGGCTAACCTATTATATTTTGGGCCTCATTTGACTCAGATAGTGTTGATGTTTAAAGTTGAAGACAGTATATAATTCATCAAGAACAGTGGAATCCAGAATTAAGCCTCAAATGTGACTGATTTACTATAGAACAAAGAGTACGAAAATTCACCAGGCCGACACCATAACGGCGAGCTGCAGCCGGAAATACGGCGTATAGACATCGCCGCTTATCTTGGTTGTCGCCCTTTCTAAGAAACGGACAGTTGTCAAAGTAAACAAATAAATGTCATTCAGTTTAACCCTCAAATTAACAAACAAAACAAGATAACACAAAATGAATATGAGAAAATGTTGTTTTATTGATGTTAATATTGATAAATGTTATTTATATTTCTTTGAGACAATAATGTTTAGTGTCTGATATTCTTTTATAAACTTGTGAGCTTGAAAGAAAAAAGATTCTGATGTCACTGATCTTTTCTGAAATCACTCTAAGAATTTCTGAGGGTCATGTTTCATCTTGGGCACATGTTTCATCTTGGGCAGAGTAATTTAATGTTGTTTTTTTCTTGAGTTACTAAATCTCCCATGATAAGCTTTCTTAAATCAATTAAAATTCGAATTTTCGAACGGTTCTGAGCATTTGAATTTCCCAAGTAGTTGGCCCCGGAAAAATAAAATGCATACGTAAAACATATAGAATTGGATTAATACCGTCCAAGCACAAGGATTTAATGTATGTGTTTTGTATTAAATATACATCGTGAATCTTTTTTTAAAATTTATGCTATAATAGCGTCAACGCACGTTTATTTCGTGTTATAAAGTCTACAGAGTCCCTCAGAACTGTTGGAGCCCTCGCCCGGTAACCGTTCCTCGGGACTCTGCAGACGTTATTACACGAAAAAACGTGCGTTAACCCTATATTGAAAACATCAAAAACTTTTTCTTTTCCCGATATTTTCATATGTATGAGTTAACGGTTTAAAATTATAGTCTCGTTATTTTGGACAAAATGTTTAACTCAATTATGAGATTTTAAAAGCAATGTAAGGAAAAAATTAAAGCAGCACGCCTCCAGACTCATGCTAATTTTCATGAAAATATTGAAAATGTATTTAAAAGTAAAATTTTTGTGAAGCAACAAAAATGAAGCAATTTACACATACATTACAAGCATCACTCACAACTCGCGTAAATTACCAAAATCAGGGCAAAATATTCGAAAATAGCCTTCACTGCGTTAGTAATGCAGTAGAAATATGGTTATTAATACCGAAAAATCAATCATTAATCGCACATAATATGTAAATTATTACTGATCTTTTTATATTTTCTTATAGTTTTAGTACATTTTTCTCATTTTGATTTGATCGAAATATTTGGTTCATCTGGAGGCTTGCAGAGAATTAAAACATCTGAGAAACAAATTAGTACCCGGTATTCCTTTACATTAATTAACAAAATAGACGCCTTAACCATTTAGAAAGATCCTTTAAATGTTTTTACTTATTTTAAAATGGCCAATAAGATTCACGTAATTCCGTTTGTAATTTTAAAATGACTAATGAAAAAGCAAATACTTATATTCAGTTCTTACCTGTAAACTTGACAGGAAGTCAAACTGATTTTAGTCGGCCTGTGGCCTGGAAAAAAAGTCACTTTGAACTTACCACAGCTTCTTCGAATGTTTGTTCTTTCGGTCCAGAAAAGTAAAATGATGGTCCGTATGTAGTTGTCAAAATTTCTGTAAATGCAAATAAGGGATATTAATTAATGAAAAATCGGAAAATGAAATATTGATTATAATTTTCTTACCATAAAATGAAAAAAAAAGACAAAAGGACCAAAGAAGTACGGCAACAATGCTCAGACTGTAATTTATTAGGTAAACATTTTTATGATTTTCTTATGTTGTTTGTACTCAGAAAAGAACAAAGTAAACGGCCGAAAGATAACATAACAGAAACAATTATCTCTTGTGAAAAATGCCAAAATATATATTAAAGCCTGAAGGATATATTAACACATATATAATTATTATGTATATAATCAATCAATAATTTATTTCCGAATTTGTAAGTTTTCTGTCAAATATTTTAAATTATTGTAATGTAGTTAACCTAAAGTGTATAAAGCTTTAAATTTGTTGTCTGTCGGTGATACAATAATTGTTTATATTGTGATTTAAATGATTAAAGAATACCTAGAATGAAACAATTTTGTCAGTATACTTTAAAAGCACTATGGCATGCTTAAACTCATTACAAAACCTACTACTAAAATAGTAGCGGAAAATTTTGTTTGGAATACATTATTGTATTTGCACACACTAAAATGTCATAGATATTTTATGTTGCAACGATCATAAGGTTATGAAAACAACCAAATTTTATTATGTTTAATTTCATTCAAACTATTTCCTTGGATTTAGCTTTATGCACTTTAAATGTATTTTAAAATCACTTAAGATAATAATAAAAGAAATGACACCAGTTTATTTTTCAATTTGACAATTTTAACTAATTACCATTCGTGTCGTAATAGAGTGAACCTGGCAATGTCTTATTTAACTCTCCAGTGTTGTAAGACAGATTACATCCAAAACACTTCAAACTTGATGGATCATAAAACAAGCTTGCGCAAGAATCATTCATTGTACATCTAATTGCACACACAGTTTTACTCGTAGTTATACTTGGAGTAAAGACATAGTCTTTTGGACTACAGATGAAGCCATTCAGCTCGATTTTCTCTTTAAAAAGCTCCCAAACTGATGTTTTGTACTCTTTCAACATTGTATGAACGACCAAAATCCCGAAAATTAAAGTAACCTTCATTTAAACTGATGATCAATATGCTCATGGATTAATGTGAACAATCAATCTCACCGCCGAGTATCAAACTATTTTTGAATTGACGAAGTCAAATTGATTTCTGTAATGAGAATGTTATAATTCCATAAATCAGGCAGTACTTGTCGTTTGACAATTCAGACAGATTAATGTAACTGGTTTATAGCCAATTAAGTAAATTGGCGATTGGCAAAGATAAAGCTTTAACGTGCATTTCTGTAAATTACACTTGATGATTCAATATTTAATGCACTTTTAAACTGTGCACATAATTAGCTATTTTGGTCCTTTTAATGTGAAATGTCATTTAAAATGTACTTTCACTTTTCAACAATTCAAACGTATGTGTTGTAATCAAGAAATTTAATTAAATAAACACTGTCAAAGAGCTCAATCACATTCAACTTTAAGGACATGTATAAAAAACACATCATAAAAATCCTCATTTTTAAAGAAATTTTAGAGAATTTTTTTAAAGGTTGATCTTGTCTAACCTAAAAGCTTTTTTTAAACATTAAAAAGATAATAGACTGAAACATTATTAACAATTTAAGCATTACGTGTCGGTTAATAACTAATCAAGCCCGGTGTGACTTATATCTCCACTCCAAATCAAAGACATGCCTAGCTTTTATGTTGACAAATATATCCTATTTTGATAAACATATCCAGTACAACAGAGCCAATGAATAAATTTCCTGAATTTTTATGATTTAAAAAAACGTACATGCTGTCATTTCGATACTAACAATACTTTACTTTGAAAACATGTATTTGTGTTTTTAGTCAGGTGTGCGATTGTGGTAGCCTAAGTCTATTGTTTTGCATTTGACAAAAACAATATTATTACTAGCCAAAGAAATATTAAAGCATTGTTTTTTGTTTGTTTTTCATTTCAGATCATCCGACGAGACCTCTTCAATTTTTAGAGACAAGTACGAAAAAAAACCTAGATCGGTTAAAAATATTTTTCAAAAAGAAATGATCATTACTAGAAATATTTCTACGCATCGTATATATCAAAAACAAACAGTAATATGTTTATAACTTTTGCCAGTCACTATGTCGGTTTATTCAAAATATAGTAATCTGTATATTTCTCAGTAAACTCTAGGTTATTTAGTTATTTTGATAACCATTTATTTATTTAGGTTAGCCTAGTCAACGTCTAACTTGTTCGCTTTGGTTATAATTTTTATGCGCTTGGGTCAGTCCAGATGTGACCCTTCAATGTGAATTGGCCTGCCTGTTGTTAATGTGACTCTAGACACGGATTCTATACGACGTGACCTTTTCTTGACCTGCATGCTGGCAACAAAGCGAGGTAGTGTTGTGTAGAGCCCATGCTAGTGAGTAACCTATGCATGAAATGTTTGCTTTCGTTTTGTGATGACGCATGTCATAAAATCATTTGAAAAAAATGGCTTAATGGCCCTTTAACAAATTTTCCTCATAATGATCTCAATGTTTTCTGAATGCCTCCTTGTCAGCAAAAAAGAGCTGCGCTTAGCTTAATAGGGAGCTAGCCAAGTGACAATTGATATCTGACATTGAATGTAATACTAGTAGTCACTTGTCACACCGCCGATTTAGAAGTCAACGATATCAAATGCGTAGAAATAAGTTATTATAGTTACATGTAGTTATCCATAATACCTAGCTGGTTATGCAAATCGGTCGCCGAGATATAACCAAGAATATGAGTTGAATTCTACATAAAACCAGGAAAAAAGCAAAATTAACAGACAAACAAATATTTGGGCATTTATGGAACTAATTCGACTGACGCTCCAGGTGTATCATTCATGCAAACATTTATGTTTAAATGTCATTATTGTTAAATGAATTGACAGGCAACGCAAAGATGATACGAAATTTGTTGTAATATTTGATACTTGATCAACACTTTATAACATTTCTCCACCCCATTTTATTATGACAAACTTGCCTTAAATGTAATTGCTCACCAGTGATAAAAGTACATGTATACATAAACATTTCTTAACATTTTTACTTACAACATTATTATAGTATAGGACTGCTGATGGGACTGCTAAATTTCTGTATTAACAAAACAAACTATAGACTTAATTTCTAATATTTGTTAGTATGCACTTTTTTTCTTTTTTCTGCTGAAAGAGACAACATTGTTCTAAAGTATGAACAATGGCTTGTTGAAAACCCGTAAAATAATGAAGAATTGAATTTCAATTCGTTTTGACCTAGGACGTTATGTATGTCACGAATAAAGTGCATGCATGAAATTGTTCCTCTTGGCAGACAATGATTATATCGCATTCCGTTGCTTTAGATTTGACACCTGCCGTGTCACTCGCCAAACTGGCTTATCAATTATGTATTCTTGCTTCGAAGTAACCATGGTTGAGAAGATAAACCTTGTATCTACAGAGAGATTTCAGAATGGGCTTAATGCAGGGTGATAATGTAAACAGTTTTACACTTTTTATCACGTATTTTGATGTTAAATGCATTTACTTGTTACAAACGCTTATTCTCTCTGATCTGCTCTCACGATAGTTGTAACTGGCAATTGTCTTTTAAATCATTTATAGGAGGAGAATTTATAAAGACTCATTAACAGAAAGCATATGAGTCACAGAACAGTTCATTTGTCACTAATGCTTTAAGTTTTGAAAACCTATATAATATTTATTGTCATCTTGTCGTTTTATGTTTCTCTTAAAAGAGTTTCCGTTTCATCGCGTGGATCATAGTAGTTAGAAAGGAAAATTGTATAATCAAGACTTAAATAAGTTTCAATTAGTTAAACGAACCAAAAACCCATGCATATTTGATAATCAAACCCTTAGCCTCTAACACTCAACTAATATCGAGCAGATGAAAGGGATAGAATATGGTATAAGATAAGCAGAACATACAGTAAGTAGGTGTATAAAAAAATTTAACTTAATTTAAAATGCGAGGTATCAAATATGCTTTGGTTAAAACAGCGTTTATTTTCCAAGGGCGAACGTACCTAAATAAAAAGGCCGTGTCTACACCTATTCAAGTCTTGAATGCAAGTATCATATTCTCTTGAATTGGATAATGTAGACACCCTACTTGAATGGTTTTTAATGAGAAATTATGTGACATCCATGATGATAATTTCTTGCAAGAAAATTAGAACAGGTTCTATTTTTCTACAAGTTTTTGGCTGTCAAGACACTGATAAGACCGGTTTGACACAAAACATGTGCCCGAAGGTGTGATATTGTTGTTATTTTTACTATTTTTTTAACTGTTTTGTTGTTGGTTCAGTGTACATGACCTGTGAATTTTAGTAAATGTTTACAATGTCTTGGTCAAAGGAACAAATCACTACACTGATGCACAGAAGAGCAATAAAAAAAATAAAAAAAAGAGATAGTTTATCAAAAGTTATTAATCAATAGGGATTTTAAATGATCTTGTTCATTAAGTGAATAATGTTCATCAAATAAAGAGTTTGCTTCAATTTATAAGTTCAATTTTTTTTTCACATTTTTCATTTTACACATTTCATTTACTCCATTGTTTTAGCTAATTGCATCATTCTCCCGCTTTTTTATTCACACATTTTATAGAAACATGATAGCATTGCAAAGACAAAGGTATAAATCCTGGGCAATCTTAATAAGACATTTCAGTAAAAATTGTGCCTGATTATATGTTGAAAGGACCATTTATTTAGCTTTTCTAAATATGACATGTAAGAAACTTGAATAGGTGTAGACGAGGCCTTTAACATATATTCGATAACGAATTGATGTCTGCTTCTTACGGAATACCGTTAGGGCCATCGTGGTTATACGTTAAAATACAGAGGGCGACAATGCGATAGTGCGACAGTGCGATGTCGATAATACGACAGTGCGATGACGACAATACGACAGTGCGATGACGACAATGCGACAGTGCGATGGTGACAATGCGATAACACGATAGTACGATGACGACAGAGCGATAGTGTTATCGCACTGTCGCAATCGCATTGTAGCATTGTCGTCATCGCACTGTCGTATTGTCGTCATCGTGTTGTCGCACTATCGCATTTGTCGTACTGTCGTCATCGCATTGTCGCACTGTCGCCATCGCATTGTCGCATTGTCGGACTGTCGCCATCGCGTTATCGCATTGTCGACTATCGCCTTCCGGTGGGCGTTTCTAAACTGCTGACGAATAGCTGACGGTATAGAATATGCGAAAATAATTTTACTTTTGTCAATTAATTTTTTCTTCTTTTATTTTTGTTTTCTTTTCTTTTTTATTATTGTGCCCCCACGTTAGTGGCGGGCATTTAGATTTACCCTTGTCCGTCCGTCCGTCTGTCCGTCTGTTCGAGCAGACGAGAGCTACATTATGAGGTTTAGGTTTATGTACAGGCACTCTGTATGGGGTTCATTCCGTAGAGACATGTATTATGTGGTTAAAAATGCTCTTATGGGGTTAAAAAATTTGCTCTTGTGGGGTTAAGAGATCAAAGGAATAACCCCACAAACACGTCTGCTAAGTACTTCCGTCCTTCCGTCCGTCCTTCCGTCCGTCCGTTCACTTTTGTGTCGCACGTAACTCAAAAAGTATTTGACCTAGAGTCATGAAACTTTACAGGAATGTTGATCAGCATGTGTAGTTGTGCACCTGGGTATTTTCGTCTGGATATTTTTAGTATTTTCAGAGTTATTGCCCTTGACTTAGTAAAATTTTGCAATTTTCAACTTGTGTCGCATGTAACTCAAAAAGTTTTTGACCTAGAGTCATGAAACTTTACAGGAATGTTGATCAGCATGTGTAGTTGTGCACCTGGGTATATTCATGTGGATATTTTTAGTATTTTCAGAGTTATTGACCTTGACTTAGTAAAATTTTGCAATTTTCAACTTGTGTCGCACGTAACTCAAAAAGAATTTGACCTAGAGTCATGAAACTTTACAGGAATGTTGATCAGCATGTGTAGTTGTGCACCTGGGTATTTTCGTGTGGATATCTTAAGTATTTTCAGAGTTATTGCCCTTGACTTAGTAAAATTTTGCAATTTTACAACATGTGTCGCACGTAACTCAAAAAGTATTTG